TTGTATTATTCTATGCATTAGATATGTGTTGTAAATTGTATTAAATATTGCTTTATATTATCGCTATAATTGAAAAAGAAAGTCTTAGTAAAAAGAAAAAAAAATCGTAAAAATTCGAAGACATTTTCCGGACCATTATCCGAACGAAACCTGGTACACATTTTCCGGGTGCATATATATCAACTTTAAATATGATCCCTCATTAATATCACTATTAACATGGATAGAAAGCGATCCAAATGGGTTGTTATTAACGAGGGTAAACTGTATATCTATCGATATTGATTGATCGATTCATGATGTTACGTGGCTCCATAAAAATAACAGTGAAAACTCCGTAATTAACAATTAGTAAAACAGTGAATAAAAGTTTATATATTATTACTTTGATATAGCCTTTCGAGCTAAAAATAGAAGAATTAATGGAACGCTCAATCAAAATGTACAACACTGTACAAAAAGGCATTCAAGAACCTTGTGCCCTCTATCCTACTGTACTTTCCGTTTCATGCAAACATTCAACTATCAATAATGCAACAGCTTTCAATAGTAAAATAATTCAAGCAAAAATAATGCAAAAATAATTCTATTATTATATTCATTATAAAATTTTTAACCTAAATGATAAACTGGTATGATGCATCTCAATCACTAATTTAGAGATTGGAATAGACGAATTTTGGGCATCTTTTATTTTAAATGTTAAAAATAAAAATAATGTTATATCGTTAAATAGTTTATCTGTTCTAACCTTCTGAATATCTCCAGCATATAAAACCAGAATATCGTGTACATTCTGAATTTTGTATTGATGTTCGATTAATGTTGTCTTTCGATGTTTAGTAGGTAATTCATCGATTCAAACCTACACTAATTGAGTCGCACTTGGCTGATTTGAACTGTACCCGGAACATATATTCCACCTGGTTGCTTTTTAAAAGCTTCTGCAATTTCCATAGTATTTATCATTTGAGATCTGTAAATAGGTATATTTTCTGAGGGTACTTTATCATGCGCATTCAAGAATTCTTTCTTAATTTTAAGGTCCTCTTCGTTTAAAAGTTTATTGTCTAAATCGCAAATATTATACCAATTAAATAAATTTTGGCAAATCTCCTCAGCACTTGGTCGTTTTGCTAGTTCTTCATCCATACATTGTTTTGCCAATTTAATATAGGGATCAGGTGTTCCTTCACCAGGATCTGGGCGTAGGCCTTTACATATCTTTACTGCCAAGTCATTATCATACTTGATATTCCTGTTTTCGTCCCAATAAGGTGGTTTTCTTGCAGATATTTCAGTTAATATAATACCAAGACTATAAATATCTGCTGCTGTTGTATATTGATCGCCTATTAAAACCTCAGGAGCAACATAGGGAAGAACTCCAAAAATTTTCCCTTTAGCTCTATTATCTTCAATTTTACTAGACAACCCGAGATCAGAGATATATGCAGTCGTATCGGTTTCATTAGTATTTACAAGTATATTGCCACAGTGTAAATCTTTATGCACATATCCCGTATAATGAATTTGACTTAGATTGAATGCAACTGAAAAAAGAAGGTTTAACTTGTGCGCCCAAGTAAGTTGCTTATAATTTGTATATAAATAGTTCCAAAGACTTCCTTTATTTGCATATTGACATACAATTGCATATTTTTTTTTATTTGGATCACGGGTTATCCCGTATGTTTCAAGAAAGTTTTTTTGATTTCTAAATTCTACGAGAATTTTAAACTAAATAATGAAAATAATAATAAGATACAATAAATGTATGAATGATGAACGAATAACATATTTCAACATTACCTCTTTAAAAATATCTTCTTCCTCCTCCTCCTCAGCCTCTTTGAAAATATTTTTCTTAAACTCTTTGAGAGCAACCATGCAACCTTCTTCACGTAAGAATTTATTGTTTTCTTTCGAACGTATTCGCTTTCCATCTAACCATTTTGCAGAATAAACAGTGCCAAAGCTACCTTCGCCAATTACTTTATTTACTTTTAATCTATCATAAGGAATCCATTCGATCATATTATCATAAAATTTTGC